ACGACGAGCGGACGTCTGGACACCTCCTTTGCCTGGAAGCCGTCGGATCACGCTCTGTTTTCGCGTTTTGGCTTTGCTACTGCCGTTAGGCATCCCTATTCAACGGTCCGGTTGTACGATCGCCTTGGGTCACGGATTGTTGATAAAAAATTGTTTACATGTTCTGGCAGGTTCTCCCGGCGGGGTGACGGTGTTCGGGGGCCGGCTTGGCCGAGAGGTGCCAGGGGTTGGCGGGTCTTGGTGGGCTCCTGGTGTGCCCTCAGCCGTGGTGGGCGGCTGACTTCTGCTCTGCCGGGGGACACTGGATGACTTTTGCGTTATAGTTGGGACCGAGTTTTTGGTTTTGCTACTCAGTGTTCTGTGTGGGGCGGGGCCGATGCTTGTCACCCTGAGGGACTCCTGGGGCTCCCCAATCATCTGCCTGTCTGCGTTTCTTTGCCACATGGCATATTAGTTTCCAGTGATTGGCGTCACTTGTTTCGCGATTTGCCTTGGTGTTTCACCTTTCCGGGCTTCGCGATTAACCCTTAACGGGTACGCCGGGGAGCATCAGATCCCACGATCGCCGTCGCCCTTAAATCAACAACAACAACAATAAATTCATATCAATAGGCACTTGTGTTCATAAAGCAAAATCACAACATTATGTGCATATTCTTCCAATATTTACCAGAATTTTCCTAAGGGCCACTAACACTCTAGTGGTTTCGACGAGGGTAGAAAACCGTCGGCTTGTCGGAAGGTTCCCCCATTTGTCCAGATGATTTTTTTTCAAACTGGATTTTAAAGTTCAATAATGTTTTGGCATTTTCTGCTTCGGTGGGCAGGCGGTTCTATGGGTTTATAGCCCTGTGGGTGAAAATACATCTCCTATTCTCAGTCCTACATTGCACTCTGAAAAAATTTCCTGACAGACCTCTGGAACATTATGTAACACAGTGCAGTTACAAGCGCAATAAAATTTCAACTTAGATTCAACAGAGCAGAAGAAGTTGTTGAACACTTGGGACATAATCTTACTGAAGCGACATACGAGTCATAAATACTCACACTCCGCCTAAATAAAACAGAAATAAGCAACACTTTTTTATTACTGGGAATATGGGATAGATGTTCATGATAATGACACGAAGTGTAAACTATGTGGTATGTTAAGGTCTCACACCCTTGCCCATTATGTTCTTGATTGTCCGTTGATTAATGTATATAGAAACACTGAGATAAGGACTGTTCCTGAACAAATAGCCTGGATGTGTCACAACGGAAAGGTTGATGATATTCTTGAGAGATATAAGAATTTTGCACCAAGACTGTAATCTTTTGTTGAATTATCTGTATGACTCTTGCAAATTGTCTATACAGTATACCTAGGTCATAAAAGTATTTGTGTGTACGTCTGGTACCATACTACTTGTGTAAAGGAGGAAATGTAGATGTTTATCTCTCAGAATGTTTGGTAATATGTTTATTGTTTGTGATGTGTTTATATGTATGTATTAACACGATGTACTGAACGGGGTGAGAATAGCTTGAGCTACCTCATCCCTTTGTGTGTATTTTACCTCAATAAACTTATTTCAATTTCAATTTCAATTTCAGTAATACTTTATGGGCCAGCCAGAGGCTTAGGGGCTCGCGAAGGAATATTCCTGCCCTTTCCCCCTCCCCCCCCCAAAAAAAAATCCTACATTATGGCTTGTTGAGCTTGCAACTGTTACACCTTGTTTGTGCTCAGCCCATTCTCGTGTTTAGGTGGTACTTATAGTTTCGATGAGGACCATCGTACGTGTACTGACGTAAAAGGCAGCTACAAAGTAGAATTCGGTACTATTGAATTTGGAAAAATCAGATTTTTTTTTGTATTGATGTTGCAAAGAAAACTTAACCTAACCTTAACCTAGGCCTAATACACGCTAGCTGAGGCCTAATACAGTACATATATGTGCTATACTAGGCCTAGGAATATTTAAATTTGGGTTTTAGCTTAATTTCTTCGGAACTATTAAGTGAATAGTACCAAATCTTACTATCTAATTGTCCATTACATTTATGTATGTACGATGGTCCACATAATTACAAAAAGTACTATCTAAAACAAGAAGATGGTTTGGTGCGTTACATCTAACCTTTTGAGAACATTGTCTGGAACAACATCATAAACTACGTCTTTAAAGGGCTAAAGTAGACCTAATGTTACATGTATTGGCCAAGAATTTTTTATTTATGCTTAGAAGAGAATAAGTTAGGTTAATGGTTAGGCTGTTGTTGTTTGTTTTGCCTTATGGTAAGGGGGGCCTCTTAGCCTGGTGGATAGCGCGCAGGAATCGTAATTCTGTGGCGCGGGTTCGATTCCCGCACGAGGCAGAAACAAATGGGCAAAGTTTCTTTCACCCTGAATGCCCCTGTTACCTAGCAGTAAATAGGTACCTGGGAGTTAGTCAGCTGTCACGGGCTGCTTCCTGGGGGTGGAGGCCTGGTCTAGGACCGGGCCGCGGGGACACTAAAGCCCCGAAATCATCTCAAGATAATCTCAAGATATGGTATACCAATAATACAAAACGTGAACTTTTTTGGTTGTACCAGTCCGGTTTGTTTACATAGATGGCGCTGGTGACTGTCAGAACAAGTGGCGGCAAATATAAATGAATTGCATCGTCTGCTCTGCACATGTAATTATGACATGCAATTTTACCTTTCACTTTAGGCGATAATATGTAACAATATTAAACCCAGTATAGGGGAAGTTCAATAGAACTTCGGTTTCAACCCTTTTACCCTGTCGTAGCTCAGTCGATTAAGGCAGTGTCTGGGATGCTCCCGGACGCAGGTTCGAATCCTCGTCACGGCCCTTGTGGATTTGTCCAGTATATGAGAGTCCAAATTTAAAAAACGCGTTTCAATCAGTCCCCGCAGCTCAGTGGCAAAACACCCGCCCGGCGCTTCAGGAGCGATTTGGCCTGGGTTCGTATCCTGGCCAGGGAGGATTGACTGGGCGCCAGACCTGAACTGTAGCTTCTGTTCACCCGTCAGTGAATGGGTATTTGGTTGTTAAACGATTTGGCAGTTCGTATTCCAGGGAAAAATAAGGGTTAAAACCTGACCGAAACGCTGTGCGTATTAGCGGCGTAAGATCTCTTGTATATATATATGAAAATAAAAATATGCAAATTGTATTGCTCCTGGTGTATATATATTACATTATGTACTTGCAAATACTCAACTATATCACGTTCTATATGGATTTTATATAAATGAAAATTATTATTATTATATTCGATTTTTTTTTGTTTACCTTTGGTGATAAGTAACCTAGCGTAACTATTAAATTATGTATTCAATTCAATTTTCTTCTTTATTATGCACCCCATAACTATCCCGTGTGCGGTGGTGGATAGGGTTACAGAGGTACATAATGGGTTCAGGAACTGAACTCCATAGTTCATTTAGCTAACCAAATGACAATCTTGTGAAGATAGTTACACAATTGTTAATGTTAGATATACATATATATACATTCATTTACACAAATACATACATATTTATCAATAATCTTTTTATATCACAAGTGATTCAACAAGAGGCTCACAACAGTCACTATACAAGGCACTTTACATCTATGGTGAGTCACACAGTTGCTAGTCTTGCTCCACACCCACCCAACTGGGCGGCAGCTTTACAGTCATGTGCTCCACACCCACCCAACTGGGCGGCAGCTTTACAGTCATGTGCTCCACACCCACCCAACTGGGCCGCAGCTTTAGTCATGTGCTCCACACCCACCCAACTGGGCGGCAGCTTTACAGTCATGTGCTCCACACCCACCCAACTGGGCGGCAGCTTTACAGTCATGTGCTCCACACCCACCCAACTGGGCGGCAGCTTTACAGTCATGTGCTCCACACCCACCCAACTGGGCGGCAGCTTTAGTCATGTGCAGGCTGAACCTACAGTCAGGAAATTTTGGATACTTGTTTAAGATTTCTGGCAGTACATTATGAATGAAGTACTTGCACATTTCTTGGACTCCAATGATGGTGTTATCTTCTAACTTGAGAAAATGTTGAATTAGGTATACTAGCGTAAATATTTAATTATATATCCTCGTGTAAATATTGAATTATATATCCTAGCGTAAATATTTAATTATGTATCTTCGTGTAAATATTGAATTATATATCCTAGCGTAAATATTTAATTATGTATCCTCGTGTAAATATTGAATTATATATCCTAGCGTAAATATTTAATTATATATCCTCGTGTAAATATTGAATTATATATCCTAGCGTAAATATTGAATTATGTAACTGTTGTAAATGTTGAATTAAGTAACCAAGGAATTGAAGACCAGGCATTGGTATGTACTCATTATGTAGGCTTAGCTCCCTCTAGGCCGGTTGTCTTATAAAAGAAGGAGGGCTGGGAAGACTCCACCTGGGTCCTGTAGCGCAGTAGCCTACGTTCTCGAATCACAGTTGAGGACGCACAAAGATCATAGATAGCGACAGTGGGGGGGCAGGAATCCGCTGGTTACTCCGTCAGTAGCTGTTGTAGTCTCACTTCCTGGCTACTCTGTCAGAAGCCCTCACAGTCTCATTACTTAGTTCCGTGCCAGATTGTAAACCGCTAATTTTTAAGCAACTTTCTCCTGATATTTTCACTAAAAACAAGTGAGACTTCCTCTCTTAAACAATTATATTTGGTTGGATGTTGGACGCTTCGGTCCGTCCCGCACCTACGTTCACCTCACGCTCTGTTCCCTCGTTCGGTCTCCCATTAGCTATGCACCAAGGCTACGGTTGGTGATTACAATGACAGCAGTGTTCCGCGTGTCGGTAAAAGGCCTTTTGACTAATTCCCCCCAACAGCGTACAGCGTCATCCATAAGCTTGGGGCGTCACCCTCATTGGTGCCAGCCATGTGTATAGCACGTGTGTATATATAATGAGGCGAGTGAGGGTAGAGTTTAGTTCCCCAGGTGAGGCCGCCTGCACCTCATCATGGAGACACCAATTGAAGGCTTACGTAAGTCGCTTCAGGACACGACAGGTTAGGCTAGACTAGGTTAGGTTAGGTTAAGCTAGACTTGGCTCTACAGTTATTTTTGTACTTTTTAAGTATACCGGTGTATAATCATTGAGATTTTACTTTAGTTCTGGTCTATGTTTTGGTGCTAAAGTATACTTGAGGATTGGTTGTCACGGCCTCAATAGCCTTCGTGTAGTTGACTGGTCCCTAAGCCCAACACAAACCAGTCCTGGACCTCTGTCCCGTGGCTATATGTGACATGACACACACATAAATAACACCCTGATAACTCGAGACTGAAGCATATCCCGCCTATCACTGATAGGATGAAGCCACTGATATATCTTCATCAGTAGATATGCCACTGATGAAGCATATCCATCCTAAAGCTGGGGGGGGGGGGAAGGGAACTATCAGAAGAAAGCACCAAGCCATCACGGCTATATGGCACTGGGAAGGGGTCAGGATAAGGATTTGGGCTGGGACGGAGGAAAGGGAATGGTGCCCAACCACTTGGATGGTCGGGGATTGAACGCCGGCCTGTATGAGGGGGAGACTCAGAGCATGATTATTCTTCGTTTTGCAAATGTTACTCCAAGTGTTAAGCGCTGCTATACCTTCGTCAGACAGTGGCTCTGGTGGTGCTGGTGGCGAGGGCGGGGTCAAATCCCCATGGCGGCTATAACTACCAGGAACCGGTCGTACAGGGGCCCCGGTACTCCTCCCAGTATGTGTACCAGTGGGACGTCAACGATAAATCATCAGGCAACTTCTACGGTCAACGGGAGCAGAGAAGAGGAGAAAATACCCAGGGCAGGTGAGTCTGCTGTCACCAGTCTGCGGTCACCAGCGGGTGAGTCTGCTGTCACCAGCGGCAGAGGGCGGGTGAGTCTGCTGTCACCAGTCTGCGGTCACCAGCGGCAGAGGGCGGGTGAGTCTGCTGTCACCAGCGGCAGAGGGCGGGTGAGTCTGCTGTCACCAGGGGCAGAGGGCAGGTGAGTCTGCTGTCATCAGTCTGCGGTCACCAGCGGCAGAGGGCGGGTGAGTCTGCTGTCACCAGCGGCAGAGGGCAGGTGAGTCTGCTGCCACCAGCAGCAGAGGGCAGGTGAGTCTGCTGTCACCAGCGGCAGAGGGCGGGTGAGTCTGCTGTCACCAACGGCAGAGGGCGGGTGAGTCTGCTGTCACCAGCGGCAGAGGGCGGGTGAGTCTGCTGTCACCAACGGCAGAGGGCGGGTGAGTCTGCTGTCACCAACGGCAGAGGGCGGGTGAGTCTGCTGTCACCAGCGGCAGAGGGCGGGTGAGTCTGCTGTCACCAACGGCAGAGGGCGGGTGAGTCTGCTGTCACCAGCGGCAGAGGGCGGGTGAGTCTGCTGTCACCAGCGGCAGAGGGCGGGTGAGTCTGCTGTCACCAGCGGCAGAGGGCGGGTGAGTCTGCTGTCACCAGCGGCAGAGGGCAGGTGAGTCTGCGGTCACCAAGATAAACACCTAGTGACATATTGCGACACATATATGACTCAGCTCTCTGGAAGACGTGATATGCAGACGTATATATATATATATATATATATGAATGAAAACTCACACCCCAGAAGTGACTCGAACCCATACTCCCAGAAGCATCGCAACTGGTAACTACAGGGCGCCTTAATCCGCTTGACCATCACGGCCGTCAAAAGGAAGTGATAGCCGAGGCTATTTGAGCCACTTCCCCGACGGCAACTCGGATGGTAATCTTGGGCATAGCATTTCACCAAATCACCTCATTCTTTGGGGCACACGTGAGGAACACAAATGCAAACAAGCCTGAATGGTCCCCAGGACTATATGCGAATGAAAACTCACACCCCAGAAGTGACTCGAACCCATACTCCCAGAAGCATCGCAACTGGTAACTACAGGGCTCCTTAATCAGCTTGACCATCACGGCCGTCAAAAGGAAGTGATAGCCGAGGCTATTTGAGCCACTTCCCCGACGGCAACTCGGATGGTAATCTTGGGCATAGCATTTCACCAAATCACCTCATTCTTTGGGGCACACGTGAGGAACACAAATGCAAACAAGCCTGAATGGTCCCCAGGACTATATGCGAATGAAAACTCACACCCCAGAAGTGACTCGAACCCATACTCCCAGAAGCATCGCAACTGGTAACTACAGGGCGCCTTAATCCGCTTGACCATCACGGCCGTCAAAAGGAAGTGATAGCCGAGGCTATTTGAGCCACTTCCCCGACGGCAACTCGGATGGTAATCTTGGGCATAGCATTTCACCAAATCACCTCATTCTTTGGGGCACACGTGAGGAACACAAATGCAAACAAGCCTGAATGGTCCCCAGGACTATATGCGAATGAAAACTCACACCCTGGGGACCATTCAGGCTTGTTTGCATTTGTGTTCCTCACGTGTGCCCCAAAGAATGAGGTGATTTGGAGAAATGCTATGCCCAAGATTACCATCCGAGTTGCCGTCGGGGAAGTGGCTCAAATAGCCTCGGCTATCACTTCCTTTTGACGGCCGTGATGGTCAAGCGGATTAAGGCGCCCTGTAGTTACCAGTTGCGATGCTTCTGGGAGTATGGGTTCGAGTCACTTCTGGGGTGTGAGTTTTCATTCGCATATAGTCCTGGGGACCATTCAGGCTTGTTTGCATTTGTGTTCCTCACGTGTGCCCCAAAGAATGAGGTGATTTGGTGAAATGCTATGCCCAAGATTACCATCCGAGTTGCCGTCGGGGAGTGGCTCAAATAGCCTCGGCTATCACTTCCTTTTGACGGCCGTGATGGTCAAGCGGATTAAGGCGCCCTGTAGTTACCAGTTGCGATGCTTCTGGGAGTATGGGTTCGAGTCACTTCTGGGGTGTGAGTTTTCATTCGCATATAGTCCTGGGGACCATTCAGGCTTGTTTGCATTTGTGTTCCTCACGTGTGCCCCAAAGAATGAGGTGATTTGGTGAAATGCTATGCCCAAGATTACCATCCGAGTTGCCGTCGGGGAAGTGGCTCAAATAGCCTCGGCTATCACTTCCTTTTGACGGCCGTGATGGTCAAGCGGATTAAGGCGCCCTGTAGTTACCAGTTGCGATGCTTCTGGGAGTATGGGTTCGAGTCACTTCTGGGGTGTGAGTTTTCATTCGCATATAGTCCTGGGGACCATTCAGGCTTGTTTGCATATATATATATATATATATATATATATATATATATATATATATATATATATATATATAATAGGATTTTCATGAATAGGATTTTCGAAGTACGAATTTCACTCCTTAATGACTGCGTTTATCTGCAATGAAATTGAACTTTTGACCCTAACATGTTCTCATTAAGAACACATGTAAATCCAAGCGTGCTGACTTGGGACCTGACTTCGGACGCAGGTTCGAATCCTTGTCACGGCTCTTGTGGATTTGTTCGTGTGCTGACTACGTATATGTAACATATTCAGAGACTTTGAAACCATTCTGAAAAGTTCTTTCTTTCCACAGTTACTATCTGAACCTGCCCTACGGACACTACGTGAGCTTCAAGTACGCAGTTGACAAGACTGGCAGCAACTCCAACTTGGGCTACGAAGGACGCCCTCAGCGCCATACACTGCCAGAACACCACCGGGCTCCTCTCTGGCTCTCACACTCCCCCTCAACCAATACCATTAGCGAAGAAGGAACGGTTTTTGGACATGCTGCTTCCGACGAGAATCCTCCTTCACACTCCCGCTCGATTGGGACCCCAGGTGGGACCCCAGATGCGACCCCAGACGTTATCACGGACAAGGAGAGTGATATCGATGAAAATGATCTCAATTGGAATGCAGAATCTGTGGCCGCTCCCCCGCCAGAATTCTCTGCATCAGTTCACTCACTCGAGGACGGCGTCGTCCCCACAGGTGTCCGCTATCCGGCGGAGGTAACCAGGGTTCCTCCAGGCATCAAGCTACGCGAGTTCTTCACCCGGAATACTGCTGCGACGCACCACCTCGCGTCCTCACCCGTCTCATCAAGCCACAACGCACTTAACTTCCCATCCACATCGTTCTCTTCAATCCACAACTCGCCCAACCTCTCATCCACACCTTTCTCATCCATTCACAACTCATCCAATCTTCCATCCACATCGTTCTCGTCAATCCACAACTCACCCAGACTTCCACCCACACCCTTCACACCGGCAGACCAATCACCTTACGAAATAGATTTGCATCCGTCCATATCACTCCCTATTACAGGTGACTCCCTGGATGAACCTTATGAACCTCTGCCTGGTTCCAGCCCCCACATACCTCCACACCACTTCAACCACACTCTAGAATTCCATCAACCACATCCCCTTTCCCCACCTCAACCACATCCCCAGTTCCATCCTCCTTCCCGACCTGTTCCCTTTTCTAGAACGGGCTCCCATCTAGCGTCTCCCTCACCCGCGGTGTTTCTTTTAAAAGGTGTAATTAATCCAGAGGAAATATTATTTCGAGAAAATTTGTCAGATTTCCAGTCGCTTTCAGGGCTTCCCCCTCGCGTCCCCTCAGTCTCTGAGAGTCTCAGGGAAGGGAATCACTTGCCGCCTATTCCCCTGTCCGCTCCAGGGGAATTTGGCTTTAAGCCGAGTATATTTCCATTCAATCATTTCTACACGAAGGAAGGGGCTTTACAGAGATCTCCTCTACCCAAATATGATTTAGCGTTGTTAGCTGAAGACCCAAGCACGTCTATATAGGCCTAGAGGGGGGGGGTGCAGAGTAAGCATTTTTCTGGTAACGTTGGATTCACCTTCCGCCAGATTGCTGGTAGAATGGCTGTGGGGACTGGTTGGGAGGACTGGTTGTGGAGACTTGTCGTGTATATTGACGACTGATCTGCAACTGTCTTCTGATCTTGTGGCTGTTTATCACTCAGGGACGGACCCGACGGTGATGGTCTTCAAAGGACCCAAAAATAGTGCTGACACAAGGGTTCGAAAGTGGTGGTGGCTCTGGGACCTAAGCTGGGACCTAAGCTGAGACCTCAGGTCTTCTTCCTCGCGAAGAGTCACTCTATCATATATACGTATATATAAAGTGTCTTTTTTCTTGATTTTGTAATTATTTATATTTTGTATGTACTAGCAGTCTTTCTTGTAAACATATGTTGTTGAATATGACCGAAAAGGTAAGATTAATAATTCTAACACGAATCTTCTCAATATTTCTTATGTTTTTCTTCACTGTCGGTGGTAATAAAAATAAAAATTCTCCGAAATTCATTTCTTAATTGTCTGACGCCTGAACGCGTTTCGTAATTCATATTACATTTTCAAAGACTTAATTTACACACAAATTCTTCGTACTTATACTCTATTGGATGAGGTGATATGGCACAAAAGTTTTGGGTGAGGTGACAAACACAAGACAGAACACGAAACAATGGGTATAAATTGGATAAGTGAACATATGAATGGAAATAACTGCAGAAGGTCTATTAGCCCATACTTCCTCTTGCTGCTTCCATATTGGTTCGGGGTCTTGAAGTAGGTACTTAAAGTATATTAAATATATATATATATATATAATTATATATATAATTATATATATATATATATATATATATATATATATATATATATATATATATATATATATATATATATATATATATATATATATATATTATTAAATATGACCGAAAAAGTAAGATTAATAATTCTAACACGAATTTTCTCAATCTTTCGTACATTACGCTTCACTGTTGGAGGTAAATCAAAAATTAATTCTCCAAAATTCATTTTTATTTCTAGTCTGACGCGACACGGGCGCGTTTCGTAAAACTTATTACATT